TAAGCCAGAACAGTATTATTGTATAATACCGTATAAATAGTATTGTGTAATTAACTCAAACTATTGTGTATTTAACTCGAATCATTGTGTATTTAACTCAAATTTTTCTACAGTAGGCTCTGTTTTTAACTATGGGTTGTCCATAACCTGGACATTCTTAACCCAGGGACTATCTGTATTTCATGTGGATCTTTGATTTACATCAACAGTTCTCAGATACTACCTGCAGAGTTTCTGGTCCATAATCTTCATTCAGGAGGACCAGAGAGACATTACAGAACAGTTAAGAAACTCCTTATTTGGCGTTGCAATTTTTTTACATTATGTAGATCAGTAATGTTTGAACCAGGACTAGATTACAGAACAAGCTACAAAGCCTGGTTTAGAATCCATGGTCTTTATAATTAGCAGTAGTATAGTCTATGTTTTCCCTAACAAGTAATTGATTGAAGGGTCCTTTCTCAGCTTCCTGGCTGAAGGATAGCAATTTTCATTAAGTTTGCCAAAGACTCTTGGCAGTTTACAACAATAAATACATGAAACAGTTCAGATAAAAACACAATTTAAAAAACTCTAAAAAAAACCCAAATAGATATAACTATTATTTTAACATCAGATAGTGTCAATCCACTTAGGCAAGCTCATATTTTATAGGTACTTCAGAATAATTCATCTTCATGACTTTTTGAAATGAATTCGTTGCTGATCTGACCTGTTGGGAAGACTGTTCCAGGGAAGGCAACATTGAAAAATACCATCCCTGGGCTCTCACTAACCTTATCTCATCTGATATGGTTACTTGTACCATTCCTACTCAGCATAAGCATTGGGGTATGAGGAGGAAGTAGCACCAAGCCATTTGAGGCTTTAAAAATCAAAAACAACACTTTGAATTATACCCAGAAGCCTACTGAAACTAGTGTAGCACCTGCAGTTATTGGTCTAACTCAGCTATAATGGCTCTTACTTACCAGCATGCAGACCACTACATTCTGCAGCTGTTGCAGCTTTTGAGTAGTTTTCAAAGGTAGTCCCAGTTAGAGAAGGGCATATTGTACGTTCTGATCAGGAGAATCTTATACTCCAGGTAGGATCAAAACTGGTGTACCAGTCAAAGGTGAGCAAAGACCTTCCTGGTCATAATCTCCACATGCCTAAGAGACACCCATGTTACTTCTCATTCTGGGGAGTGCTACCCCATTCAGAATAACCACTATTATAGGTAAAGAATCATTAGATGATCTCTGTACAAATAGTAACTCAGTCCTTAGCCTCAGCTTGCTTTGTCCCATCCAGAATCTCAGAATTTCCAGGCACTTAGTTAACACCTTGACAGTATATCTGGCTTTGTTTAGGGTGCTGATGAATAATCAGGTATCATCTGCATACTGGTGATACTTCCCCCTGAATTAATGGTTAACTTATCCCAATGGCCTTGTATGAGGTGGGGGGAAAAAATCAATCCCTGGGGAACCCTAGAGGGAAGCACCCATGGAACTTGCTTCTGCTTCTCCATTCTCACTGACTGGAACTGCCCATTAAGTAGGAGTGGAACCACTGCGAAACAGGGCCTCCAATCCCCAACATTCACAGTCCAGAAGTTAAGGAGAAGTTAAGTAGGACCAGAAGGGGCACACTTCAACAAAGCTTATGTACCAGAGCAACCAGTGACATCTCAACCCCATGCCCAGGAAAAAATTCTGATTGAAAAGGGTCCAGATAATCTATTTCTGCTAGAGGACATGGAACTGGAGCCACACCATCTTCTGAACAATCCTCCCCACTAAGGGAAGGTTGGAAACTGGTAGTTGTCAAATACCATTCGTTCTTGGGAAGGCCTCTTCTGAAAGTAATGCACCATGACTCCTTAAATGCAGCTGGGGGAGTCCTGTCCACTAAAGAGACATTGATAACTACTGACACACCCCATGGCTGCCCAAAGGACACAGGAAGGGCATGGATCTAATCTACAAAATGGTGGAGCTTATACCAGACAGCACTGAACCCGTCCATATGCCAGAATGAATTTCAGATAACATTTCCCCAGTTAAATCCCAATCATGAGGATTCTGGTGTGTGGACCATCAGTGAATCTGCTTTCCAGGTTACCTGGAATGTCCCCAAGCACCCACAGGAAACCTTCTGGATCCCTGAAGTACCTAGAGTGGAGTATCCTAGTTAGTTCTCTCATCCTACAAATGTCCCATGGGGCAACAAGCCTCATCTGGATCAGGAATGACATGACCAGAACAAAGAACCCACTATCATGTTCATTTCCAAATCAGTTGAAACAAGGATGAGATCCAAAAGTGGCCCTTGAAATTAGGCCCAAGGTTACTTGGGGCAACTTATGGTTCCCATGGAGGCCATGAAATGCTGAGCCCTGCCAGAGCTCATCTCCAGGTCTTGGAAACTGAATTCCCTGGCAGTACTAACTAGGGAAGCCCAATGACCAGTTCCAGCAGCTCAGTGACAAGTTTCAGCAGCTCAGGAACATTTCTTGCCAGGCAACCAAGCAGATGATACACAGCCAGGAGCTTCATCCTCTCCCTACAGCCCAACCTAACATGCATTGTTGAGATTGGTACAGTACATTAAACCCAGGAGGGCAAATCTGAGAGGGCCATGTCACCACCTTTAATAAATTATGTGTCAGCAATATATGGCAGGTCTGCCCATTCATTCACCACAAATAATGGATGACTGATATTTTATTGCAGAGAGACCTGGCATTTACCAATGGCACCAACCTGAAATCAAGGTCAAGAGCAATCTGGCTTCCAGGACCAAGGAATGAAACTCTGGAGCTGGAAGTAGAAATCAGAACCAAGTTGCCAGTTTCCTTTCCCCTGTAATGACCTGCCCCACATTTCCCATCATAACTTTGTTTTCTCATCACAATCAAAATCTGCTTATCTCTCACTTCATCTACCCCATTCAAGCATCATATGAGTCTAAATGCCAGTAGCAGAATCTAAATGCCAGTAGCAAGGCCACTACTCCTGTTTACAAAAGCTAGCTGGCCTTCTAAAATTTATGAAAAACTACTTAGTCACTTACAGCCCCAATATTATAAATCAGTTAGAATGCCAAACCACTTTGCTCATATTCCATCACAATTAATCCACATTCCTACCCTGCATTAATCACCTCTGGTGTCACTGCACTTACCAAGCCCCCTCTATTGAGGTCATGTTTCAAGGAACATTCACTCTCCCATCCTTTTATCCCAGAGTGGCCTTCTTCATCCTCTGCTCTCATCCAGTCAGTAACTCTCTGATAGTGTCCTGATTGTTTCAAAAGGGTAATAATTGCAGAAATGTATCAATTGGCACTCAACATCCCTTCAACAGGACCTCAGTTCCTTTTGCTTAATGGCCCAAAGCAGCAGTACAGTGGTGTTTCCTACACCTACAGCAATTGAGGAAACACCAGCAGCCTTCACTTCTGTTTTTCCTCCTCCAACCATTGCACCAAAGCTACATGATGTGCTAATGTAGTCAGTAATCCATTGGGTTTTTCTCATTTTGCACTTTCAGTTTCTTTCTACAGTCCATAAATTTCCATTTTTTCTTAAGTTCCAGATTCGCATATTTCCTTCTGTTTTTCCACAGTTTCAAAGTAATCAGCAACCATTCTCATTTCCAGCCAACCTCCACCACCACTTATGAAATAATATCAGTCCTTTCCAACACTTCTACAACTGTCTCCCTCTGCTCACTAGATGCCTTCTTTCATCTGTCCACCATCCACTACTGCTTACACAAGTCTCTGAGGAGAAGCTGGAGCCATACTGCTGGACCTGCAGCATCAGTCACCATGGTGTTCCCACATAATATATGGCAATGAGATAAAAAAATACAAGTTCTGCATTTGCTTTGTTTTTAAGTGTTCCACTAAGATATCTAGCAGTCCATTAAAAAAAGTTTAAAGTTTAAGAACAGCTGATCTAGATATTTGGCCCCTGGTAGCCATGAATTCCTTGTCTATTTAGTGACTTTGGAAGACCATTTATCTCTTATTTTTTTCTTCATCTTAATAGTATTATGTGGATTAACAAGATTACTTTATTATACAGTTGTTTAGAAAATATATTATAGTATTTCCTTATTAGTTGCTGGCATTTGATTTTTAGTTCTTAGGTATTAAAAACACTTGAACTTTAGAAAAGCTGTTACTCAAAAGAATAAGAGTGATGGATACTGGTTATGAGACCACCATGGTTGACACTTTTTCCATGACTGAAGTAAATTAGGAATGAACTATAAGAAAACTAATGGGGAAAAAACGCTATGGTACCATAGTATTTACACTCTTCCAGCTTCTCTTTAGGGCTGGTGTATTGCTGAAGGACCAGTTCCATTATTAAGATGTATAATGTTGGTTTTAGGTCAATGCTATTTTGGTGTCTTAAAAAGGGACAAATTATTAGTAATTTTATGATTATTATATTTTTACTCCTAGGAAACAATGCCTGTGCAATTTTCTGGCTCAGATGCCAAAATAACATAGCCATTTTTGGTGGTAATGCATCTTGACATAATTTGCTGTTCTGCATCTGGCCCTAAGCTGTCATGAGCCACCCTTATTTTTCTCAAATAATTTATATTTTCTTTGTCATTTGAAATATTATGGACAGCATCTAAACTTTGTTTAAAACAATAAAGCCCAAAGAAGAAGGCAGGAAATCTATCAGTCAATATTTTGAAGTGAAAAAATAAACACTTTCTATCCCAATTTGTTTGATGGGCCTTGTATTAATGTATTAAAATTGCCTAGTAGTTTGGGGGGATTACCAGGAGATGCTTGATCTATTGTACACTGAGTGGAGCCACTTGCTCCATAAGAAAGATTGCAGTCATTAATAAGCCAATATTCAATATAACAATTGAATGCAGATACATTTTCAAATCTATCACAGTTTTTTCATGCAACTTCTGAAGTGTGCCTCTAAGTATAGTTATGAGTGTATGTCATTTCCACAAATGATTTTTCAGTTACATGATAGCTTATCTGTGCATAATAAAAGGATGACACCCTACAATAAGGTCTGAACAGTCATTGTGCTGTTTTCCCTAAAGTTTTGTAAACAGACAAAAGCCATCTCAATATTTATGTGCTTCTGTGAAGAAACCGTACAGCTGGAAAGTTCATGACCTTTAAAAACCTGGAAAATAAATAAATCCATAAATTTATCAAGTCAGTCATTGGTACTTCCTCAATTTTGGTAATGTAATTCTGATCTGTATCTGTCTAATGGTCCTCACAGAATAGGGACTGATTTTAAAAGTTTTGTTTCATTTTACATGACGACTTATAGATCTCTAGAGATTAGAAATAGAGGACTATATAAAATGAAATGGGAAGAATCACAACAGTACTTTGAAGGGGGGTAACTAGGGTCACATCCCTTGCGCTGTGTGGTCAGGAAAAAGTAGACACAGCTAAAATGGTTACAGCAAGAAAGATGGAACACAAAGTTATATACATATTGTCATATGCATTCTTGACATCATTTTCCAGTGCTATTTTTCTTAAAAGTGAGGATAAACTGTTCCAAATTAGCAGTGAATGTTTTACAACATGTACACAAGATAATCATTTGAAAAGAAGAAAATTTAAAGGCAAATAGACCCAAATTAAATTTGAAGATTTACTTTATAGAAAGTTTGTCCATATGTTTAAAATACCGTCTCCTGGATACTTTCCGTTTGTCCATTTCTTTTTTATAATCCTACTTACAAGCAGTTTTTACCACTGAATTTCAGTGGTAAGTTAAAAGTAAGCATGAAGGTCTGCGCCAAAGTCTCTGAGGGACTTCATGCGGACCGTGGGCACAGGCCGCCTAACACTCTCTTAATACGTCCTTCTTACCATCTTTCTCCCCTTAATTCTCACATGGCTGTTCTATTCCTACCTTGTTGGAAGAGTGTACGCAGCAAGCACGCAAAAATAGCCAGTGAGCTATGCCCATAATGTCCAAACGCTGCCCCAGACTTAATTAACTGATATCCAGACATGATATATGCTATAAAGGCATCTTTGTTGCTTTGCTTTGCTTTCTTTCCTTTTTTTAACTTAATCATTTAAAAGTAAACAGACAAGGAAAACAATTAATACAAAGATATAATATCAGTAATTGGACAGAATTGGGTAAGTTGCAGAGTTGGTGCTTAGTATATTGTTGATGAGGATTAACTATAAAAAGCAGAATACATTTTGTTATTTTTAACAAAAAGGAAAAAGATTTTCAAGCTCTGAGCTGAATGTCAGTATTTCTGCAGTTTTGTTACTTAAAGATAAATTATCCAACAGAAAAAAAGAGAAAGAAAAGAAAATCTACTAAACCATTATTAAGTATTTAGTTTGTACTTTCCCCTTCATTGTACTCCAACTGATATACAATATTTATAAACATTTAAAATTTTTATATATTTCTAACTTCAGTTCTTTAATCAATTCTTTCCCTCCTTAAAAGTCATACTCCAAATGTTTAAATCTGCTTTTCTGTGTAATGTATAATATATATGGAAGCCATTTTTGCTTGAATTTACTCAAACTTCTGTTGTGAATATAGCTGTTAATTTTGCCAATGCTGCATATTCTCCAAGTTTAACTTAACTTCCCAATCTGATATTGGTTGAAAACATATTTCTTTTCCAGTGTGTGCTAAGTTTATCCTCACCACCTAATACATATATCTTAGCAAACTGTGATTTTTCTTGTTGTTTTTGATAAAGTTTTGAATTATGCCTAATTAAAAAAATGTTGTTTCAATTCAAATTTCCAGAATTCTCTGAATATGCTCTGTATTTCTTTATTTCTAGTAGTTTTGTGGGGGGGTTTTTAACATGACCACCACATATGGTAAAATGTATCCTGACATTTCCAATATTTATTATGATTTATCTAACTTGGCAATTATTGACAAAGTTGTTTACCAAGTATAAAACGGCTTTCTCTGCTTCACTGAGTACTAGCATTTTTGGGAAATGCAGGGAGAGCTACTGTAGAAAGACAGATGATGCTCGGAATCGGAAGAACACTTGATCTATGCAAGGCCATTTGCTGCTCATTTCACTAGCCACTTCCACACAGCACTTATCGTTGAAGAGCACTTTGCTAGCAAAGGAACAAGATCAGTGCTCTGCTATTGGCTGTCCTGATAATCCAGTGGGCAACTTTCTCTTCTTAACTCCTTTTCTTTTGCTTTTCTAGCATTTACAGCAGCAGTCACATTTGCCTCGGCAGCACTTTCAGCAACAGCAACGAAATCCTTATCCAGTGCAACCAGTCAATCAGTTTCAAGGTGAGAGCAAAATACTTTTTAAGTACAGAAGCTGTTTATCTCTCATTGATATTTACATGCTTATTTTCCTATATAACAATCATCTATGTAAATAGCCACTACCTTGTTATTCTAGAAGGGCATCTTCAGGAGGAACAAACAATCTTATCTAACACAAGTAGACAATAGCTACTAAGGCTGTGCAGCAATCTGGATATGATGGAGAAAAGGTGATGTGCAGCACATGAGTGCTCACATCACACCTATTTGTGATTTCATTACTTCTTTTCCTGGGCTTGCATGGCTACCATTGTGTTACCCAGAAAAAGATATGTTTGATTTAAGGAGATGCTGACAGGTATGACAAAAATACCTGGGTGTGCCCTGAACCACCATTCCCCTTTGAATCCACATCACTGTACAGCCCTAGAAGCTGCTTCTTTCCTTCTCTTAACTGTCTACAGGCACAGAAAAATACCCTTTTTTTAAAAAATCTAAATTATAAGATTAGCTACAAAAATTCTTTGCTGAAACTAATACAAACAATTCTGATTAGTGAAAAGTGGTTCTCCTAGATATTCTGCATATTGCATTAGAAATTTAACAGTCCTGTAGTCCTGAATGGCAGGAAGAGACAGAAACCAGCAAGCATATTCACTACATATAGTCTGCCCCACCACAAACTGCAAGCCACTAATGAGGGTGGGGAGAGCCAGTTTGGTGTAGTGGTTAAAGCATTGGGCTAGAAACTGGGTGACTGAGTTCTAGTCCTGCCTTATGCACAAAACCAGCTGGGTGACCTTGGGCCAGTCATTCTCTCTCAGCCCCAGGAAGAAGGAAGGGCAAACCACTTCTGAAAACCTTGCCAAGAAAACTGCAAGGATTAGTTCAGGCAGTTTCCAGGAGTCAACTTTTTGGGGGGGGGGGGGAGATGTGGGAAAGGATGAAAGAAAACTAGAGATCCATTGCTGGTTTTATTTTACGTGAGAGAGGGGGAATATTGAACAAGCTTTGCTGGCAAGCTGTTGTCTTTCCCCTTAGTAAAAAAAAATTGCCCATACAAGATGTGATTATATGAGATTCAAGTCAAAAGGATGGCAGATTTCAAATGTAAATCTGTCCCTTTCACATTTAAGCAGAAAGTAGAGATACAATTGAGAGAGTTCTTGTGTTTATGGAGATTTATTTGTTTGTTTGTTTAACAGTATTTATAAACTACCCCAATCCCAAAGACTGGATGGTGTACAGCAACATAGGAACAAAATGTGATATCAAACAAAAAGAGTAGAACAAACTTGAATAAGAATAAAATAATTAAAGTAACAAGATGGCTAAAAAGACTAAGACAGATGCCCATAATCAGATCAGCTGGGGCTAAAGATCCCTTGGAATAATGATGATTTCAATTGTTTATGAAATGCTAGGAATATAAGGGGGGATGTACTGGATAAAGGGTATCCCAGATAGTGAGGGAAATGAATGCTTTGGATGCCAGACAAGACCTGATTAGAAAAGATTTCCAAGGGAAAGTTAAAAGGAGAAAAGTCCTCTTTTTTTCCCCTTTAAAACATTTAAATATAGCAAATGTGCCACAATCAAGAGGAGTATGGCCTCAGGATGGCTGATTCTGAACCTATAAACACCCTGAAAGGTGACTGGCATTTAAGGTCTTTTTAGGTCAGTTGCACAAACCCCAGCCTCGCCCTATTTAACCTGACTAGCAGAACACTGTCAGGTGAGTGTCAGTGCAGAGTCAGAAAAATGGGGGAAATTATGACACTTGTCTGATATCTTCATGCAAATGCTGCAACTTACTTACTTGCATCAGATGCCAGGACTCAAGTATGTAATTGCAATATCCGCGTGATGATGTCATTTTGGAAGTATCACAGTTGCAGAAACCACAGGTTCTACGTCCAAAGCAGTTGCTCTTTGTCCTGCCTTCAATATTCCCAGCCTTTTCCTTTAAATAGTGGTTGGCAAGGAATCTTATATTAAAACAATATCTAGGAGTTTTAGAATGCTATTAAAAATGGTTAATTTTGTGTAGTTTTAATATAATACACTTACTATTTTCTCTTAATCACAACTTCTTGTAGCTCAAAACAAGCTTTTTTATTGCATGGAATATTTTTACAACTTCTAGTTTATTTATAAGATAAAAATGTTGTAATTCTCTGTTAAGGCCAAAAGCAAGATGTCTAAAGATGTGATCTTAAAAAAAGAAACATCTATTCTAATACTCAGAAACACGTAATTTGTATAATTATGTTCAGTTGTAGCCTAGTTTTACATCAAAGGCTACACTTGACATTTCTGTCAGTATGTGTAATGATGCATATGGACAGGGTCAGAATATTCTGAGGGAGTGGGGTCTGTGTTTTGGGTAGATTATTCTACGTTAAGGTATTGTAGGGAACTTTCATTGCAGTATTTATCTGTGTCCTTCAAAATGCTTGGGGAACTGTACTGCTGATTTGGGGCAATTTTTTATCAGAGAGGGTTCTGGAAATTTCAAAAAAAGGGCTGTTGGAGCCATTGGAACCTGGGTCTTCAACTGCCTAACCTGCTTACCTGCTCAGTGAGTAAGAGACGTAGATATAGTTGGTTCCTTTTTGGCCCAGTCACTCTTTTTCAGCCCAACCAACCTCACAGAATTGTTGTGGAGGAAAATGGAAGGAAGGAGTACTATATATGCTGCCTTCTTGAACAAAATATGGGGTATTAACTAATAAATGCATGTTATACATGTATGTGCTGCATAGGCTTTTTACTTTAGCAAAAGTTGTAAAGAAAACAATAGCAAAGAAATTCTACTTTCAGTGTCATATAGTCAGTGTCATACTGAAGTAAAAATAAAATGAACTCTTGGCACAGTTAAAATTCTTATAATTATTTTTAAATAAGAGGTGATAAACATAAGAACATATTTGCTTTCCAGAAACCAGTCATGCCTCCCAGACAGTTCTGCCTCTGCATCCCTCTTTGTCAGAAAGAGGCTAGTTTGTAGAATTTTACAAGCATAGGATTTTCTGATTTCTCATCATTGGTTCAAGGTGGAATAAAATGTGCTTAGAGTATTGATTTAATACACCATCTCTGTGTAAAATATTTGGGGGGGGGGAAGCATTTTTCTCCTTTTCATAGACATAACCAATAACAACACTATAGAATATCCATTCACATATGACTCCTACACGATAAAAAATTGATTAGCCTCTCAGCAGCTGACATGGTTTTCATTTTAAAAGATAATGGGAATATTTAAAGAGGTTTTTTTATAGTTAATGGTCAGACCATTGTTTATTTTTTTAATTCTACATTTTGAAATAGATATATAACTAATGCTTGCACAATTATGGCCCTGTGTAGTCATGAACTTCAGCACTTGGCTTGGCCACTAAATAATGTAAAATCTGAATCAGGCTCAGCCTGTGCTGCTTTGAAAACAGGAAAGCATTTATCCTCAGACTTTAAACAAGATTGTAACATGATGATGTAGGATAACACCTGAGCAGCACTTCAGATTTGAAAGTCAAATAGTGCTTCCAAGTATGGAAGGTTACAAATATAGAATCACTTGCTATGTGTACATACCTGTGCGCTAAAGCCTTGTTTGCCTTCCAACCCAACAGCCCTATATATTTAGTTAGTGTAAAATCATCACGCACTACTCTATTCTCAGCCTGTAGGAACCACATTTTTTTCTTTTAGTTCTACTTAGGAGAAAACCAGAGGAGATCAATGTGATCATAGGGATAATATGCAAAACATGAAGCCAGGATAGAATTTGGCATTTTCTGGAATTTTCTGTGGTCAGAAGGGTTCCTAGCAAAACATATGTCTGGAGGCAAAATTTTTCATGTTTCATCCTTGGCATTTCCAGGGAGGCTGGGAAAGATACCACACTGAGACACTGGGAAAAAGAATCCACCTCTTTAGCTTGATTTTGTTTGTACTAGACAAAACAGTTGTCTGGCTCTGTAAAAGTCAAGTTGCTACACTCTAACATGGCTCTAAAAGTGACTTTATTGATAGCATTTTCTGTAGACGTGTAACCTAGCTTGTAAACTAAGTGAAATACTGTTCTGACATCATAAAGTTAGGATTTTGCAAGTCAGAGCTTATAACACAACTTAGGAACCATTCACACATGTAACAAATCTGAATATTAATATAAAAATGACTAGATTATTTCTTGCATAACAAATATTACAAATATTTTGCAGAAATATTTTGCCAAATTCTTCCAGCTGCCTGACTCATTTCTGCAAATTCTTTCAATAGACCGAAGTTCACTCTAACCTTTTTCCTTCTCCTGCTTTAGGTTCTCCACAGGATATAGCTGCGGTAAGAAATCAGGCTGCTCTTCAGAGCATGAGGACTTCCCGAATGATATCCCAGAATGCTAGCATTATGTCTTTGGGGGCCTCTCAGAACACTACAGCAATCTCTGCCACAGGTGGCCAGTCTGAAATGGGAATGGCTCCTTACAGCAGCCCAGTTACTGGCCAGCCAGGAATGTATAATATGAACTCAGGAATGAGCCAAATGTTGCAGCACCCAAACCAAAATAACATAAACATAACACACAATCCAAGTCAGGGACCAAGGCAGCCCAATTCAACACAAGGAGTTGGCATGGTTAGCAGCTTTGGTCCAAATGTTTTAGTGAACTCTACTGTATCTCAACAACATCAGCAAATGAAAGGACCTGTGGGACAAGTTATGACCAGACCACAAGCTCCCAGACTTCAAAATATGATGGGGCCTGTCCCACAAGGAGCACAGAACTGGCAGGCAAGAGGACTGCAAGGTATCCCTGGAAGGACTAGCAATGAAATTGGATCTTTCAATAATGGATCTGCTTACTCAATGCAATCAAATCAGCCAAGGCTGCCTAAGCAACATTTTCCTCAAGGCATTAGCCAGTCTATCATGGATACAAATGGAGCAGTACGGACACTGAACTCAGGCGTAGGAAGACAGATGTTGCAACCACTCCCTGGACAACAAGGAACCAATAACCAACCCAGATCAATGGTTATGCCTACAATAAGTCAGGCAGTTTCCACTCTAACTGGTTTTAATCAGTCCCCTGCACAACAAATACCAGGAAGTAGCTTCACTCAGAGCAGCCAAGGTCAGATCTATGAGAGGAATCCCACTCAAGACATATCTTATAGCTATAGCAATGAAGGAACTGGAGGGTCCTTTCCAAATATAACCGAAAGCACGGATCTTGTAGATTCCATCATTAAAAGTGGACCAGGAGATGAATGGATACAAGAACTTGATGAACTGTTTGGAAATCCATAGCACATGGAGATGTACAGTTCCAACATTTCTGGGGTCAAAAAAGGAAAGCAGGATGATGTCCATCCTTGTTTCTTTGTTTTGTTTTTAAAGCTGTGCAAAGCTAGCTGATCTGTGAAGGCATAGATGGAATTTGAAGCAATGACAAGAAGTCCTTGCCAACTTCCCCACAGCAGTCTCCATGCCATAGCATACCTGCTGCAGGTCAGAATAAGAAAGACTGAGAGAGAGAGCGAAAGAGAGAAAAGCTCAAAAAATGCTGCTTTCTGCCTATGGGCCACAGAAAGTGCCAGGCAGTTTCCATGTGCCAAAGCACTGGCTGTCCTATAACAATGCACTTTCCATGCAGTTCTGTTAGAACTGTTGTAGTTTTCAGGATACAAAACAGGCAGCTTCTGAGACAAAGCAGGGGAGTCGCTAGGTGACTGTACAAGTGACATATGACATACACACAGATCTAAACTCTGAATTTAATAAATACCAAGCTTTTCCATGCAATGTGTGTAACCTGATAGAGAATTAAGTAAAGGTTGTTTGAATGTGGTGATGATAATGATATCATGGCTGAATGGGTTCAGTCAGTGTGCTATCAGTGCTTCTTAAGGTGCAGAGATGGGTTCTAGTAAGAGAGCTTGTCTTTTCTCTCTTGTCAATTTCCTGCATAATCAAGTGATTCTTGAGTCATTATCTTTAAGAATGAGGAAAAACACAGCATAGGACAAGCAAGATTGTATAATAGTTGTATTACTCACTGGCTGCCTCCAAAGATAGTGATGCAATACAAAAGTAATTGGAAAAAGGGAGATAGGTCTAAGGAAATGAAAATATTGATATTGAGCTTGTTATTTTTCTGAAAATACAGGATCAAGTGAGGTTGGGCTATACAAACTGTTGGCTTGATCTTCCAAAGATGTCAGGAGAATCAAGGAACAACTGCTCTAAAGATCACCCAGAGAGGGGCCACTAACTATATTGGCTGTCATATACAGTATATTGGTTCTTTAGACGCCACTGTCAAAGCATCCCTTGACAGACTGAGAGTGAATTTGTGCTTTGTGTTCTTCAAAAACATGTCCTTTTTTCTACATTTCCTATTTTCTACAAACCCTAGGCTCTTTAAAATGACTAAGCTGATCAATAAGAAACAAAATTAAAATTTTTTAACAATTCCTTTGATGTAATTTTTAGTAGCAGTTGTATATAAGCATTGACATTGCAAATATTTTTAATAGAATTGTGCAATTTGGAGTACTAGAATTTAATTGCAATTCTTTTTAGGTCCTTAAGAATTTAGATTGGCATTAGTAGTGACAATGGAAATTGAATGTGTGGCCATCTATCCGTATATTGAACATGGGCTTCATGTTAAATAGATCCACAACCAGAGCATTCTCAGGGTCTGATTTATATGTTTCTCTTATATACAATTTTCCACCTAGGCAAATTCACTTCTAGAGATAACATTTTTGGTAGAGTAGCAGCAGACAGTGAGGGGACTTCACTGTTTCTGCAGCCACTAATTCTCTGCTCCACAGCATCCTCCAGTTGTATCTCTCACACATTTCCAGCACAGGACTTTCTTGCATATTGGAAGAAATGTTTTAAAAGGGTCAAAAAGCAAGTATAGAAACACTAACACCCATTTATCCATAATTTTCCTCTTCTAGAAACAGGTTTTCCTTAAAAATGAAGGAGGGAGCAGGGTTTGAGTTATGTGTTTTACCTAAAGTATATTTAGCCCATCAAACACTTTTTGTTGGGATATAAGGGTTAACTAGTGTAGGCTTAAAATTCCTGTATGCAGTCTGACACATATCCTACTGAAATTAGTGGGAGATTTTTTGTTGGTTCTTATGAGAGTTGACTTCTTGTTAATACTGAAATATGGATTGACCATTGCATTTGCACATTGGTGGATTTGGCATTTGGCAAAATAATTGTGTGCTTATAACAGAGACAGTTCTTGTCATGTACTCAGCGCACAGTGTACCAAACTGAGTTCTGATCATAGCACTAGTGGAGGGCGTGCAAAGATCCAAAGAAGTTTTTATCCACACATTTATTAAACTTATTTAATACAACTATACCATATTCATATGACAGTTGGAGGGCAAAGAAATAGAGCTTGTGTGCGCTGCAGCAGTCACACGAAGCTGAAAGATGTGACCAGTTAAGTATGCAAAAGCGTAGGAGAGAAGTCAAGTGAATGTTCCCATCGTCTCCCTCAAAAAGCATTACTCTTTCCTTGATAGAGTGATAAGAGAGGATTTATGGTGCAATCCTATGTATGTTTATTCAGAAGTAGGTTCCATTTTCTTTAATGGAGCTAAACCCAGGTAAGGGGGTGTAGGATTGCAGCATTAAAACATGAGCTTTCATCTGCACAAATTATAGTATGTTCCGCTTTATTAGAATAATACAGAAATTAACTTTGAGTTTGATAATGCGGTTATAAAAAGCCTATTATATTTGTAAAGCTTCCTCCAAATACTTTAAACTGGGACCAAGTAATAAAAAAATACTGTTTAATATTTGGGGGGTTCTTTTAACTATGGTGCTGGTGTACATGAAATTTTTTTTTATAAAAACCAATTATTTGTAAATATCTTTTTACAATCTGCAGATATCACTGGGTCTAATCTGTAAAATAGGTACATATAAATCAATATTATATATGATATATATATATATATATATACACACACACACACACCAATGCTCGCACACACATATATATGTAATATGTTTGTTTAAAATAGTTTTATTTCATTTTCATTTATCTTTACTGCAGTGATACTGCACTTCAGATGTTCAGTTACCAATCTGTACTGTATCCTAGCCAGCAACTTGTTTCATTTTATTCAGACTTATCCTAATTTACTTTTTTTTTTACTTTCCATATTGAACATTGCTTATTTCATTTTGATAATTGTACAGAGCTCTTAAAAAATGTAGAAATGAACTAATAACATACCAATTTAAAAAAAAATAAAAATGTTATCTGAATCAATTCAATTCTCAAATACAGTTCTTTAATCTTGCATTACAGTAAGTGGCAGAAGTGAGCCAGCCTTCACTGATCCCCAGAAAAGCTAAGCAGGACTAGACTTGGATAGAACTTGGGTGGGAAAACACCAAGAAATTCAGGGCTTTGGTCTAGACAGGGGTGTTAGAAAATCTGGAAGAAGGAATCATCACAAAACATTTTTCAGATTATTACCAGGAAAACTGCACAGACTTGTAGGAATAGTGGAATCATGCTCAAAATGAGGAAGGTTTTAACTTTTAAATCTTATATTATGTTCAGTACATCTGCTGTCAGGCTGGATCTGTTAATATTGAGGCAAAGACTGGGTTCATTTGTTCCAATAAAATGCTGAACCTAATGGGAAATAGCTTTATAATGAGATACTGGCCATACCCCACTACTTAAAAATAGCTGTCCAGCATTTCAAACAAATCTTTATCTGTGATTAGTTGCATACAAAGAATACTGTTGCACATAAAAATTTAGGCAACCTTGGTCAGATTACATGTTTCAGTGAATCTCTAAGTGGTTCACTCACTCCAGGGTGGGAGCAGGTGGCTAAGACGATTGAGTGGGTTTGATGGTGAGTGTGAAGGGGTGGGGGATTTGGAGCAGTGCTCACAATAGGCACTAAGTGGTGTCAGAATCACCAGTGGCCAGGGTGGAAGCTAATCACCCACCTATTGTTTATGTTGGGCAGGATGAGAATGGAAGGAGATGCGGAGGGTGATGGTGTGAGGAGGAAGAGGGCAGAGGAGGGCATTACGGTGGTGACAGGCATGGGGAGGTATGGTGGGAGATGGGGTGGGTTTGATTGTGGATGAGAGGACCAACCTGGCTTACATCACTGAATCCTGGCTGAGCATAGGGATTCCTCTCTGAAATGTGCCCAACTGTAATAGAATGTGAGAATGACCTTGGAAGATGGGGGGAAGAGACGCTGCTTAGGGAATGATCAGATAAAGGGTGGGGAGCCCACAACTGAGTAACAGGCAGAGAAAGAAACATAGAAATGATCCACCCTAACTGATCAGGTGGTAAGAATGGACAGTAGGAGATTTGTACTTTCCGACTTGTAAGATTCTGTTAGTGTAGCCTAACAATAAAGTAGAGTTAACTCATCTGGTCATGTTTCTGTCTGGTTTATTTGAGAGGCTGACACCAACTGGGCTTCAAGTGTGGCATCGGCTGCAGCTCTGGGGCAGAGGTGGGGGCATGGCTGTTGTTATCCAGGAGTCTCTGAGAGGAATTCCAGTTTTTATATCTGGAAAATATTTTCAGAAAATAAATTCTTTGTT